CCCCCCCCTTCCCGGGGCGCATCTGTATTGTTAAAATGTATGGATATCTGTTAATAAATGGTTTTGTTTTCATTTTTCACATGTCATTTTTGAACATGTCTCAAATTCTACCTTACTTTCAAAAATAATGAAGTCATTTTTGCTATGACAATACCGGCCCCGGTTGCATTGAGGGAAGATAGCGCTATCAGATGGATAAATCCTTATCCAGAGATAAGCCTATATAGTATATTAGGTAAAATGTCATTAAAGATATCCTCTAACACTTCTACCTCTTTATTTCGTGTGGTGACAGGATCGGTTTCAAAACAAACATAATAAAAAGATCCAACTTCGAATCCATTCAATTAATATTTTTCAGAGCCTCCCAAAATCACCAATTGCCGTATTAATGGTTCTTTAAGTACGAGCCAACCAGTCGTTGAAGGGGATGTGGTAACAGTGACGTGTATTGGATCTGGAAGTCCTCCACTCACTGGAAGATGGATCAAAGATGGACGTGTGTGGAATGGGAATTATCTTACAATCACCCCAATGAATCGAGCAGATGCTGGATCCTACAAGTTTATTCTAAGCAATGGAGAGGAATGCAATAAAACAGAGCAAAAAATTCCCATATCTGTTTATTGTAAGTAGACTTGCTAGATGATAAAGAAAAGTCCATTGTTTACAATAAATCCTATAGGTCGTCAACGTTACACGTCAATTCCGCTGCGTGGCAAGTCATTGCTATGAAACTGTACACCAATGGTTGATTGTGTATGGGAGCAGTGCTTGCTCCTCACTGAAGTCTGTTAATCAGATAATCAGATTTATGACATTCATTCAGCTGATTGATATCAAGCCATTTCTTTATATCCTAAAGCAGTGTTGATGCTGACTGACTGACTGAGTGGATGAATGATTGTTTGATTCAATGATTATCAGTGAGTAGTATAGGGGTTGGGGGTCCCAACTCACACACCACCCCGAAATAACCCGTCTTAAAAGCATACGCCCCGGTTTCATTCGGGTTTTGAGAG